ACCTCCCTGGTGAAGTAAATTTCTTATGATTTTGTAGTGATTCTCTTTCTATCTAGTAATGTTTTCTGTCTTAGAATCTCTGGAGTCAAATAACGACTCCAGCTTTGTTGTTTTTGTTATTTGTCTGGTTTATTTCTTTCCTTCCTTTGACTTTTAATCCCTCCCTGTTGTTGTATTTTAACTCTATGTCGTGTAAATGGCACATAGTTGGATTTTACCAAGCTTGATAATGTTTGTCATTTAACTGGACAGTTTAGTCTGTTTATATTTATAAAGATTATTGATGTATTTCCATTCATTCTGATGATCTTATGTGGTTTCTAGTTACTGTCTCCATTTCCTTTCTTTGGATTGAGGTTTACCTCCTTATTTCTTTCTTCCTTTTCACATTTGATTTCCGCCTCCCCTTCTTTTATAGTTAATATCTAGAAATATGCTCTATATTTCTTAGTTAATGGCTACTGTAGCTATTGCAACATGATAAATTGTACTAGGCAGGAAGGGCTAGGCCTCAGGTGGTCACACAGAACGTTCTGGACTGGGGTTGGTCCTTCAGACTTGTCCCAAATGCGAAAAGGAGGCTAGGATTTCATATCACCATTACTGGATGTGTGTGGTCTCTGGGCAGGGAGAGTAACGTGGTCAGCGTGGTGGCCTTTGGCCAACAGCAGTTCCCACAGAGGGTTAAGTGGCTCAGTGCTGAAGGAGGGAAGGGTTTTAATACCAGAAGGCACTGTGCCCTGAACTGCCCTGGCCTAGATGTAACATTAACCAGAGATAGTCACGTGGCCCCGACCTAATTGCAAAAAAGGCTGAGAAAAGTCAGAAAGCACAGGGGCTATTTGGCCAGCTGTCTCTGCCATACCTAACTTCTTAGATCTGAGGACTGGCAACATCCAAAAAATCCTAGACACTTATCAGTGTGTCTTCAAATATCACAAGAAAACCATTGTACTTTTCTCCTTTTGGAGAAATATACCCTGTCTCTTATTTGGTTTTTTATATTTTCTTAAAAAATTTTTTTAATGTTTATTCATTTTTTTTGAGAGAGAGGGAGAGAGACAGAGTGCGAGCAAGGGAGGGGCAGAGAGAGAGGGAGACACAGAACCTGAAGCAGGCTCCAGGCTCTGAGCTGTCAGCGCAGAGCCCAGTATGGGGCTTGAACTCAAAAACCAGAAGTTCATGACCTGAGCCGAAGTTGGACGCTTAACAGACTGAGCCACCCAGGCGCTTCAGTTGTTTATAGTTTCTACCTCTTAATCTCTCTGGACTACTTTCTTGGAATCTGCTTTCAGTTGACTAATTTTCTCTTTGGCTAGATCTAGTCTGCTGTTTGTCCCTTCAATGACTTTTTATTTCAATGTTTCTTAACTCCCAAATGTTCTATTGGGTTCTTTTCGAGTCTGCTTGTTTTTTGTTCATATTTTTAAGCCATTTCTTTAGATATATTGAACATACTTATTTAGTATTTCAATATCTGCTCCTTGAACTGTCTACCATCTATAGTTTTGGCCATTTCTGACACCTAGTGTTGTTTGCTTGTGTACATGCTTGCATTGAATCAGCAATCCCCCAGAAAGGATTTGCATTTGCTTTTGTTACTTACCTGAGGGAGCCACAAACCTTTGACTTCTATTTATTTGTAACCACTTTAATTTTTCTACTTGAGACTTCTTGGACCATAGAAGGACGGGTGGATTTGGTCAGAAGCCCGAACGCAATCGATCTGATGGTTCTGACTTCTGGGGAGAGATGGTCTCAGAGAAACAGTTTCCTTATTGTCTTTTTCTGCCTCGTGGTGTTTATCTCACATTCTCCTGCCTTTAGAGTCCCAGTCTTATTGGCTGCTTACCACACAGGGCTCCTGGGGCTTTGTGTGACGTTCTTGCTTTTGTAGCATTTAGCTGATACTTTTATCTGGCTTTCAACGCAGAGTTCATCCAGCATTTTCATTGTTTTAGTCAGGAGGAGCCTTCAGGACCTCTAACTGACTATCATTTGTCCCAAACCAGACGGCTCCCAGCCATTCTTCCAGGCTCTTCCTCTGTTACTCTCGGTCCGGTGATCTTTCACTTCTGAAACTGTCGATAACACTTAGCATTTCCATCAACTATAGCGATCGCAGGGCTCACGAGGGTGGATGCAGTGAAGTGTGAGGAGGTTTGCCAGCCAACAAACTAGCGTTTGTTTCCTGGTTCTGCTATTAATTATGGCCTTGGAAACTTCTGTCGCTGAGCTTCAGTTTCCTCCTCTATAAAATGGGGTTGACAGCCTTTACCTTGCAGTCCCCTTATGATGATCCGATGAAACAAGGTCTGCTCCTAACATGTGCTGGGTCCAAATCGGGAGAGCCATGGAGACCACAGACGCTATGTCTGAATGTAAGTTACATGTGGAGCTAGCAGACACTTATACGGAATGGTTCCATTCTCCCTTGGCAAATATCCCTTCATAATCCCCAAAGAGTACATGTAAAGCTCTAATATTTATATAGTGAAAGTGAAATATCAAAGACAACTAAACTTAATTATTGTTCTACATATCTGGATGTTATATTGATGGATTAGTGATGTTTGGATGAGTAGTAAAATAAAAACATATACAATCTGGGGGGCCTGGGTGGCTCAGTCGGTTAAGTGTCCAACTTCGGCTCAGGTCATGATCTCACAGTCTGTGGGTTCGGGCCCTGTGTCGGGCTCTGTGCTGACAGCTCAGAGCCTGGAGCCTGTTTCTGATCCTGTATCTCCTTCTCTCTCTGCCTCTCCCACCTAATGCCCTGTCTCTCTTTCTCTCTCTCAAGAATAAATAATAAACATTAAAAAAAATTTTTTTTAAACCACATACAATTTATAAAGTAGTATGTTTAGCCCATAAGATTTATTTTTTTGCCTTTATTTCAGCAAAATTATGGGTTATCTTGCTATAATCAACATTTTCACAAAATGATGCTCTATTAACAGTGATTTCATTTTTTTTTTTTTTTTTTTATTTCTAGGAGAGAGAGAGATAGTGTGAACAGGGGTGGGTCAGAGAGAGAGGGAGACACAGACTCTGAAACAGGCTCCAGGCTCTGAGCTGGCAGTCAGCACAGAGCCCGACGCGGGGCTCGAACCGACGAACCGTGAGATCATGACCCAAGCGAAAGTCGAACGCTTAACCGACTAAGCCACCCAGGTGCCCCTTAACAGTGATTTCAAATTACACCATTATTTCTGAGTCACTGAGTCTTAGTTTTTTTCTTTATTAATTAATTTCATCTGGGAGAAAATTCTGGTGAGTTTTTGTTCAGTTCTGCTAAGCGAGAGTAACTGAAATTATCAAAAAATGTTTGTGGGGCACCTGGGTGGTTCATTCAGTTAAGTGTCAGACTCTTGATCTCAGCTCAGGTCTTGATCTCAGGGTCATGAGTTTAAGTCCCGCATTGGGCTCTGCACTGGGTATGAAACCTACTTAAAAAAAATATATATATATATATATATAAATATATATATATATATATGCATATGTATATATTCTTAAAGCGTTATTTAGAATCAGAAATAAAGTGTACATTTTACGTTTCAAGTTCAAGTATAACGAATTTGCATATAATAATTGCAGTTAAGAAGAAAAATTATTAAATCTTTAAGTTTCATATACATTACCATTTTTATATGGCTCTTTTTACTCTCTTTTAAAACAGTATCTAGACCCCTATAGTACTTAAATTTGATTTTTCCAAGAAGAAAGTTATAAAGAAAACTCTAAATAGCAATATTTTGCTTAGTCAAAATTATACCATAATCTATAATGTTCAGAAAAGTAATCTGTATGGAAGTCAATTTCCTGTTTATTTGTATGTGAATCTTGTCTTTCATTGTCCACAGATATTTTTGTTTCTTTTTTTGAGTTTTGTCTTATTTAAATGTCATTTTTGTTACACATTTCACATGTGGTTCCTTTGGTTTAGAAAAATCCTGATGTACCTAAGACAAGAAATACATTCTTTGAATCCCTTTAAAAGTGAAATAGCCAAACCTTGATTTTTTTTCTTTTTAAGTAAGCTTCATACCCAGTGTAGAGCCCAATGTGGGGCTTGAACTCACCACCCTGAGATCAAGACCTGAGTTGAGATCAAGAGTCGGACACTTAACCAACCGAGCCACCCAAGTGCCTCAAATCTCAATATTTTTGTAGGCTTTTGCTAACATCCCATAATAAATACCTGTGAAGAGCTCAGGTTCAAATTGATGTCATTTCCTCCCAAAGATGGTGTTTGCTCTGTATTCGACGACCCTCCGTTTCATTGATTTCTTTCCATCATCTTGCATCTTGTCTAGATTAAATATAAGAATTTAATGGCATTTATGTGGCATTCTCATTGTGTGAATTAGAGTAGTTTATGGTCACATTTGACAAGTGTTTCAGCAAGAAAGATGTGCCGTGTTGCAGAAGATTCAGAGAACGTCACACGTCATCTTCAAATTATTCCAAAGGGAGTCCTCGGTCCTAGTGAGGGGCTGAGACCCTGGGTTGTCATTTATTTCCTGTGCTAAGATTGCTTTTGGATCTTTGGTCAGATTCTGACCTTGTTTTAGGTTCTTGTTGTTGCCATATTAGCACAGATTTCGTGGCTTTCAGAAAAGAAGATGAGTTTATTTTCTTACCGTTGTGGAGGTTAGAAGTCCAACATGGGTCTCATGAGGCTAAACTCATGGTGTTGGTGGAGGTCCCTAAGGACTTGGGATTACATTGGGCTCACCTGGAAAATCCAGATAATCTCCCTATTTTCAGGTTAGCTGATTAGCAACTTTAATTCCATTTGTGACCTTAATTCCCTTGACCATCTAACTTTACATACTCACAATGTCTGGGATTAGGACGTGGGCATCTTGGGGGCGGTGCATTATTCCATCTGCCATAGACTTCCCTGTCACTACTGGTACCACAACCATGGCAGATTTTTAAATCAGTGCCTAAAATTAAAAATATTTTTCCTAGTTCTTAAATCAAAGACTTACTTTTTACAACAAATAGAAAGCCAGTGGAATGTTGCATTGTCTCAACTTCCTTGCTTCTTCCGTGGGTCAGTGCTGTGTACGGTGCTGGCCATTCAATGGGACCTTTCACCCTGGTACGGCTGACCTGAATTGAGCAATATTTATTTTTTTAAGACATTGTATGTGTCCTTTTTCACGTTACTGTCCATTAAATCGCTAATATCCTTGGGGTCCTCTGTCCTAGATAGTGATAGGTATTTTGTTTCCTTACTTGTTATATATCTTGTGTATTCAGCCAAAAGATATTTAGTTTCATTTTCTTTTTTTTTTTAATGTTTATTTATTTTGAGAGAGAGAGAGGCAGAGAGAGAGACAGAGAATCCCAAGCAGGCTCCCTGCTATCAGCACAGAGTCCAACATGGGGCTTGATCCCATGACCATGAGATCATGACCTGAGCCGGAATCAGGAGTCGGATGCTTAAGCAGCTTAGCCACCCAGATGCCCCAGCTTCATTTTCTTTGAATATTGTGGTGCATCTATAAAAAGCATCCTTACGCTGGACTGCACATAGGACACTTCTTTTCTTAAAAATGTAACCCCAAAGTTCTAAATTACATCACCTATAATTGTAATTGCTTAATCCCAACAACAGTTGGCCATCTCTTCAGCGTATTTGTAGTTCTAGTAAGCACATGTGAGTTCTGTCCAAGTGGTTTTATGATATTTTCATTGAGATCCTAAGTGCTGTCTCTTGCTAGGACTCAGCGTGGCCCGTCCCACATGAGACAGTGGCTTAGTGTCCAGCCCAGAGCCAGGTATACAGCAGGCACTCCATAAATGGCAGGTTACAACTTATGCATCAGCTGGTGGCCTTCCCTTTTCCTTTTCCGTCATCTCCGTGCCTTCTGCCCGCAAACACCTCACTTGTCTCTCTCTCCTGCTCTGGCTCTTCAGGTGTATCTTGTCCCCCTTACCTAAAGGGAAAGTCGTCTCTTGCAATGAATTGGATTCTGGGCAGGGAGGTGACTGTCAGATGCTGAGGCGGGGGACGGGCTGTGACCAGATGCAGCGCCACCAGTAGCATGCCCTGGGACCTTGTGAGAAGTGCACACTCTCCCCCATTCCCACCGAATCGCAGTAAGGACTCCAGGCCATCTGCCGACACTGGCACAAGAACATTTGAGAGGCACTGATGTAGAGACACTGTCACCCAGTGTCCCTGCTGGCTTTGGCCAGCTCGGGCTGCCATGGCAAAGTGCCACAGACTGGCTGGACAAACAGAAGTTCACAGCTCTGGAGGCTGGAAGTCCAAGGTCAAGGTGCTGGCAGGGTTGGTTCTCTTGAGGCCTCTCTCCTTGGCTTGCAGATGCCCCCTTCGTGCTGCCCTCATGTGGTCGGTCTGCTGCACATGTACGCCCCTAGCGTCTCCCCTTCTTCCTGGGGGGCGCCAGTCAGATTGGACTAGGACCCACCCTAATAGCCTCATTTAATCACCTCATTTTAGTCACCCCCGCTTTCAGGGGCGCCTGGGGGGCTCAGTCGGTTGAGCATCCAACTCTTGGTTTCGGCTCAGGTCATGATCTCACAGTTTCGTGGGTTCAAGCCCCGCATTGGGCTCTGTGCTGACAGCCAGCTCAGAGCCTGGAGTCTGTCTTCTGATTCTGTGTCTCCCTCTCTCTCTGACCCTCCTCCTCCTCCCTCTCTCTCTTTCTCTCTCAAAATAAAAGCCTTAAAAAAATCTTGGCTCCAAATAGAGTCACAGCTGAGTTACTGGGGGTTAGGGCCTCAACATATGAGTTTTGTGGGGGACACAATTCAGCCTATAAACCCCACTCTGCAGAGGAAGAAACAGGCTCAGAGAAGTACCTGACAGTCCAGAGTCACACCACAGGCCAAGAGATGAGAGCTTCCTCGCCTACGGAGCCCTCGGAGCGGCAGCAATGGGAGCATTAAGAGGCCAAGGAAATGAAGTCTGATGTTTGCGCGTAGCTTTCAGATTTGCTTCCCTGACTCCTGGGAGCTTTGGAAAAATGTCTTAGCCTCCCTGGGCCTTGGTTTCCTTTTCTGTGAAATGGGGACAATGAAAGGCTCTCCCTCACAAGGTCATGAGGACTCCTTGAAATGTGGATGGGAAATGCAGATGGCCACACTGACGACACCTGACCCGACCCTCCCCCACCCCGCCTCTCCCCTTTGCCGGCCATCGGAATCTGCTCTTACTTACCGCTAGCCAGAATGCTCGATTATTTTCCCCAGGTGATTTGCAGTTTAATAGCTAGAAAAACCAAGGGTTGAAAACGGTCACAGTGGAATTTGAGGCACCAGCTGGCAGGTGCACAGTGTCTTTCCAGAAAGCCAAGCCTTGGCAGGCACTAAGAGGAAAGCTCGCTGAGATGCCCTTCCACCCCGGGGACCTAGGGATTCTCACTTCTAAATAATAGGCTGCGCACACAATTTGATTTCATTTCACGTGAAATTGCCTGGCCTCCAACCAGGGATGGGAGGTGGATTCCGACAAATCGATTCTGCAGTGCAAATTAGCCAGCACCTGCTGACCTAGGGCTGCTTGGAAATGAGACCCAGCTATGGAGAACCAAGGCAATGATTGCAATTTGCCTTTCGGGGTTAGACAGGGTGTGAATACAAAATTGTTTCCAAATGTCCCATTTGTTGTTTAGATTTATGGAGCGTGTCTTCTTTTAAGATCTTCTCTATGCAAAGCACTTTGCTGAGGCCAGAGCCGGAAGATGGACAGAATGATGCACCTTTCTCGTGCTCAGAGGGACTCGGCGCAAGAGTGCATCTGGCATTTTGACCTAATAAACTGAGGTTCAAGTTGAGGGAGGTGGGGGCAGGTCAGAACATCGCTGTTGTAGGACTGAGGGACTCCTTTCTTTTCTCCAGTCTTTATCCATCTGGGTGGTCAGTCAGTTGAGTGTCTGACTTCGGCTCAGGTCGTTGATCTCACAGTTCATGGGTTTGAGCTCCGTGTTGGGCTCTGTGCTCACAGCTCAGAGCCTGGAGCCTGCTTTGGATTCTGTGTCTCCCTCTCTCTCTTGCTCCTCCCCCTCCCCCCCACCTCTCTCTCTGTCTCAAGGAGAAACATTTTAAAAAATTAAAAAATAATAAATCCTGCCCCTAGAGTATGGTTAGTGGGCTTCCCATCCATGTCTGGGGTCAGCAGAGCAGGTTGGAGGAGATTCTTTAAATATGAAGAATGCCCAGTGCTCCTCGAGCCCCTTGTTGTGAGATCTCCTCAGCACAGGATCTACAAAACACACTCCTGTGAAGGAGTGAATCATCAATAACAATGGCTCCTTTCTGGAAATTTCTGCATTTTAATGAGAGGCCAATCTTTTAAAACAATTTTTAAAAATTTATTGTGTTTTATTTTATATTTGAGAGAGAGCGCACAAGCAGGGGAAGGGCAGAGAGATGGACACAGAATCTGAAGGAGGCTCCAGGCTCTGAGCTGTCAGCACAGAGCCCGACACGGGGCTCGAACTCATGAGCGGTGAGATCATGACCTGACCTGAAGTCGCGATGCTTAACCAACTTAGCCATCCATGAGCCCCCGCCAAAAAAAAATTTTTTTTAATGTTTTATTTATTTCTAGGAGAGAGAGAGAGAGAGAGAGACAGCGTGAGCAGGGGAGGGTCAGAGAGAGAGGGAGTCACACACTGAAACAGGCTCCAGGCTCTGAGCTGGCAGTCAGCACAGAGCCCGACGTGGGGCTCGAACCCATGAACCGTGAGATCATGACCTGAGCGAAAGTCGGACGCTTAACCGACTAAGCCACCCGGGCGCCCCCCAAAAATTTTTTTAAGGGGAGACTATACTGTGAGATGGAACGAGAGACCCCCAGTTTCCGCTGCAGGGCTTTCCTGTGCCTGCCGGGCACGGCCACCCTCCTCACATGGGTCCGGAGCTGAAGGCTCTGGTGGGGAGGGCAGCTGCGAGCCAGGATTCCTGCTGCCCGGGGCCTGGAGCCTGCCCACTGCAAACCGAGGGCGTCAGCAGAACTGAACGGGGAACCAGAAACCAGAACAAATCGCTTTAATCAGCTAAGACCCAAACCTAATTCAAATAGTATTTTTTCACTGGACCATGAACCGACTTCATGGTTCGCCCTCCCCCTGCTTGACCAGTTTAATCCAGAACTGAACTAGGAAGGGAATGTACTCACGGGTTTATAGGTGAGGACACTGAGGCCTGAGAGTCATGGCTGGGTCAAGGTCACAGGGTACCTCGGAGGCCCAGGTTTGACTCTTTACCCTAATAACCCCTGACTTTCTCCACTTGACTCAGAACCTCAAGACATAGTTGTTGTACTTTAAAAAAAAATTTTTTTTTAGTGTTTATGTTTGAGAGAGAGAGAGAGAGCGTGCGTGCATGCGTGCAAGTGGGGGAGGGGCAGAGAGTGAGGGAGACACAGAATCCCGGGCAGGCTCCAGGCTCTGAGCTGTCAGCACAGAATCTGACTCAGGGCTCAAACTCACGAACTGCGATATCATGACCTGAGCCAAGGCTGGACATTTAACTGACTGAGCCACCCAGGCGCCCCCCTATTTTGTACTAGGTTGGCATTCTCTTTCTTTTCCCCCTCAGCCCCAGAAAACTAAAGGGAAAACTCTATAATATATTATCATTGTCAGTATTTGCCTCTATTAATCAACTCATTTTTCATCTACCTTTCAAAACTATGACCACATTCCTCTAAATCAGTGGTTCTTAACAGGGGAGATTTTGCCCCCAGGGGGTATCGGCAGCATCTGGAGACATTTTCAGTTGTCACAGCTTGTGATAACCAAGGTGTGTGCCCCTGGCATCATAGGGAGAGACCGTGGGTGCTGCTTAACTGTTGCCTAGGACAGCCTGTGACAACACAAAATTCTCTGGCCAAAAATGTCCATAGTGTCAAGACTGGGAAGCTCCTAACTCAACCCAAAAGCGAAAGGAAGTCTACAAATCCTTAATAAGTTAACTCCTTGCCTCTCTGTGCCCCTCCCAGCCTCTGTCCCGCCAGGGTCCTTAAACTTCTAATCCACATTATCACGGCAGGAATACAGTTTACATGCTTCTTGTTCTCACGTCATGCTTATGCATCCTGACCTTTGTCCCTCTTGCCTCATTTTTACAATTACCCTTTTCTTCAATGTTTATTTATTTTTGAGGGAGAGAGAGAGAGAGGCAGAGAGATGGAGCGTGAGTGGGGTAGGGACAGAGAGAGAGAGAGGGAGACACAATCGGAAGCAGGCTCCCCGCTCTGAGCTGTCAGCATTGAGCTCAGCATAGGGCTCAAACTCATGACCTGCGAGATCATGACCTGAGCTGAAGTCGGACACTTAACTGACTGAGCCACTCAGATGCCCCGTATAATTACCCTTTTGAGAGAGAGAGAGAGTGCAAGCTGGGAAGGGGCAGAGAGAGAGGGAAACACAGAATCCAAAGCAGGTTCCAGGCTCTGAGCTGTCAGCACAGAGCCCCACATGGGGCTCGAACTCACGAACCACGAGATCATGACCTGAGCCGAAGTTGGATGCTTAACCGACTGAGCCACCAGGGCGCTCCGTACAATGACCCTTTTAAATAGCTCTAATGGGGTCCTCCGTGCAGGTTCACACCCATATGTGAGCTGACCAGTCCAACTGTCTCCTTGGAAGGTGGTGACTGAGAGACTCGCCCCGTGGGCTGCGTGGGGAGGGGAGGGCTGGCCCGGCAGGCCCGGCTGCGGCAGTTTCCCCCCTGCCTGCATCCCAGGCTGATGCGTCCCCGTCTTCATCATCAAAAGGCCTTTATGAAGCGCCTTAGTGCATATGAAGCGCCTGGCGCTGAGCGGGACTGCTCTGCAGAGGCCTTCCCCCCAGACCCTGACACCCAGGGCCTGTCGGCTCGGACAGACAGCATATATGTCAGCCAGCCGCGAAGGCACCCAAAGACCAGGCGGTAGGCCCCAGGCAGAGGGCGCAAAGCCACCCTCTTAGGCAATATTCATGACGAGAGTAAGTGCGTCTGGGATTGAAGACTGGCTGGGTTCCCAGAGGGAGCCAGGAGCTCCACTTCTCTCTCCTCCGCACCACCGGCTTCTGGAAGGACGTGGGGTTTTAGAACGGACAGGGAGGAGGAGAAGAGGGGGCAGAGGGAAGCAGCTTGTCAGGTCAAGGACTTGGGGTCAAGGGGTCCAGGCTTAAGGGTTCAAGTGCACAGCCTGAGAGCCAATGAGATGCTGCCGGAGCTGCTCCTCCCGAAACGTTCTTGCCGCCCTCTCACCTCCCCTCGGTGCCCCGTTCTCTTCCCCCCTGCAGGTCTTCCACGAGCAGGGCATCCTCTTCGGCTACCGACACCCACAGAGTTCCGCCACCGCCTGCCTCCTCAGCCTTTTCCAGATGACCAATGAGACCCTCAACATCTGGACTCACTTGCTGCCCTTCTGGTACCTTCCGGCCCCCTTGACTGGCCAGCTCCTTCGGGAGCCCTGGGGACTGGGGCTTCTTTAAATCCCAGGGAGGGGTTTGGGAAGGCTGAGATTTCAGGCTGGGATCTGGGGGGACTCCCCCATGGTGTGCGGGCGTGGAGCTAGGAGCCGCTGGGGCCTGCTGCAGGGAGAGCTTAGCACGTGGGTTCTGGTGGCGTTCAAGGGGCTCATCGTGGCCCCCCAGCCTTTGCCTGCCCCGGGGCCTGGTTAAAACCTGACAAGCTCCAGCAAGTCCCTTAACCTCTCTGAGCTTCATGTTTTCCCATCTGCGAAGCAAGAGCGATAGTCTGCACTCTGCCCAGACTCTGTGCCCGCTCTCCCACGGAGGGAGACGACAGCTCAGAGCCTGGAGCCTGCTTCGGATTCTGTGTCTCCCTCTCTCTCTGCCCCGCCGTCATTCACCCTCTGTCTCTCTCTCTCTCAAAAAATAAAGAAACATTTCAAACATTAAAAAATACTTCAAATGCTAATAATTATAACTTGCAGATGGGGATGGGGGCGGTGCCTTCCCCTGGCTCCCGTTCATCCTGGAGGTGCTAGGTCACCTGCTTCCCGTGGTGACCCACCCAGCCCCCTGGCCCTGCCCGTTGCCGCTCTGCCCTGGCTTTCTTCCCCCCAACCCCCTCTGGCCGCAGGCCTCTCTGGCTGCCCGGACTTCCGTTTTATGGATGAACCACAGGTGATTTAGGCTGTTTTAAAGTTTGTGCCGCCAGGGGCGCTGGCCTGACCATCCTCGTTTGTGCATCTTGAGCTCCGGTGCACAGATCCCCGTGGGGTGACCTCTTGGCCGTCCCGAAGCTGAGCCGCTCTGGCTGAGGCCCCCCCACTGCATACGGCCCCCTGACACTGACAGGCCCTGAGAGGTGGTCGCCGCTGAGTGACACAGAGTGGGGGAGGGTTGGAGAGATGCCCGGCGGAAGTGGGGCCAGGGAGTCATCGTGAGGAGGTGGGACAGGTTTGGAGAGCAGCACGTAGCTGAAGCTGTGTTTCTGCGGGGCCAGGAGGAGAAAGATGGCAGTGTAGCCAGAAGATGGAGTGATGCTCTGTGCGCTCCTGCGTGAAAGGCTTTGTCGTCTCCCTCCGTGGGAGAGCCAGTGGGCAGAGGGGCTGGCTTTCTAGGAGCGGTTTGTGGAAGTGGGCAATTCAGCAGGCAGGACCCCCTCTGCCCGGGGCACGGGTGAGGCAGACGGGAGGCGGGGCTGAGCTGTGTGTCTGTATGGAGGTGGGCCCAGAGACCCAGGCTCGGCTGAGCCTCAGCACGGGTCTGGGCCACTCAGGACGGGGACTGCATTAGCGGCGGAGGAATAGCGTGGAGAGGAGGGAGAAAAAGGTCCTGGCACCTTCTAGACTTTCAAGCACTCCCCCGCCCCCCACCCCGGGAGGTTGCTTCTGTTTGAAGAGCCTAGATAGAGCCATAGAGTTTGTCTATGAAGGGGACATAGACAAACCACAGGGATGCTGGCGATGCCGAGTATGGATCCTGTGGGGGGTGGTTGAGTGCAATGGGGTTATTTCGTGTGAGGTTCAGAGAGGTGGGGGAGGGATCCTCGGATCTTTGATAGGCTGTTTGTCTGTGGTCTCGTGGAGGGGAGCTAGGGCTGATCAAGTGGAGATAGATTCTGAGGAGGCAGGTGTCAGCTTAGTGAAGGACTTAGGCAAGATGCTCTAAGAGAGATTCTGTGGTTACAAGGCAGGGAGAAGATGGGCCTAGATGAACCTAAATGCTCTCCCCTTGCCCCCTCCTGCCCATTTCCAACCAAAAAAGGATCCCACTCACCCCCCATCACGCCTAGTATTCCACCGAGGTGAGGACACACGTGGTTCAGTCATCCCAGGGCAACGGAGCCCAACAGATGGTCCGGGGAGGGGCGTAAGGGGAGCCCCACCCCCACCCCCTCGCAGAGGTCAAGTGGGCCCCGCTGTGTTCCAGGTTCTTCATGTGGAGGTTTGTGACCGCCTTGTATGTGACGGACATCCAGAATGACAGCTACTCCTGGCCTCTGTTTGTGTACATGGGCTCCAGCTGCGTGTACCCGCTTGCGTCCAGCTGTGCGCACACCTTCAGCTCCATGTCCGGGAATGCCCGGCACATCTGCTACTTCCTGGACTATGGTGCCGTCAACCTCTTCAGCCTGGGTATGTGGGGGCCCCGCGTTCTCCTCCTCACCCTGTGACTCGGCACCTTGTCCCTTCCCGTGGGACCGGGGGCCACCAGAAGGCATCGATCGGCTTGCAGAAGAGTCATGGGGATGCCAGGGCCTGGTCAGGGTTCCTGATGAGTGTTGGGCAAGCACCTGGTCCCCCAAGGGCATGCTGGCAAATACCAACGACCGATTCTCCGGGGACACAGGCCCTGATCTGTGGTGTTAGCTGACTTGTGCGGCGTCAGTACTCCCACCGTGGCCAGTGAAGCCAGATATCCCTGAACTTGGGTGGGGGAGAGATACATAGCTGTGTACCATCAAGCAGTAATTCCTCTGTGCAGACACGGTAGATGCGCTAACTGGAAGTCATTACTTCTGCGAACGTGCTACATTTTTTAATGTTCATTTATTTTTGAGAGAGAGAGAGAAAGAACGCAAGTGGGGAAGGGGCAGAGAGAGAGAGAGAGAGAGAGAGGGAGACACAGAATCCAAAGCAGGCTCCAGGCTCTGAGCTGTTAGCACAGAGCCCGACACGGGGCTCAAACCCACAAGCCATGAGATCGTGACCTGAGCCGAAGTCAGACACTCAACCGACTGAGCCCCCCAGGAGCCCCAGAGCTTATTTAATTGTAAGCTTGTGTGGTTGGCTGTGTTTTAACAGTCAGCCTGCAAGATCTCAGAAAGCTCAGCAATCTGCTGTCATTGGCCAGGGCCCAGCCTCTTCCTGGCTGTGGGGTCCATGCAGCCCCATGGGCTGCTCTTCTGAGTGCTCTGAGGCGGGGGCCCCACCATGTGCCCTGAACCACTCCCCTTTCTCTGGCCCCCATCACATCACTCTCCGATCTCCCTCAGCCTGCCCATGTTCTCCTCCTTTGCTGGCTCCCCTCTCCTGCTGTGCCGTCAACTGGCAAGCTCTGCGTCAGTCCTTGGGCCTCTCCTGCTGCGCCGTCCCCCTTCAGGGTGGTCTCCCTCGTGCCCACGCCATCCCCTAACACCTCTGGACCAGGCAGTCCCCAAGCCATCTCTGGTTTACCACCCACCTGAAGTCCACACCGCGTCCAGCCCTGTGCCTGAAACTGTCACCCCTGCCACCCCCCCCGCCACCTCCTGCGCACACCTGCTCCCCTTCCTGCGGTGACTCTCCTGGCTAGTGGCCTCCCTCTACTTGGTCTCTCAAGTCAGAGCCTGTACGTAGCCCCCCAGTCCCCTCCCTCTCACGCCCCTGCCCGTGCAACTCCACCATCCTGTCGGCACATTCCCGTGAGTCTCGTCCCCACGATCTTCAAGTCGCTCCCCCGTGGGGGCTTCACTCAGACCCTCCTGTCTCTCCCCTGCACGGTTATGACAGCCTCCCCTCCACCTCCTGCTTCTCCCCTACTTCGAGCCAGCTTTCCCTGGGAGACTTCTCTTAACACCTTCAAATCTAGCACCCGGCCCCCTTAAGACCTGTCAGGACTCCGTGTTACCCTGGAGGAAGTTCAAACTCCTTAATCTAGAGGCTTCCATAGCCCTTGATCGCCGGCCCCAGACCCTTGATAAGAGCAGGTATTTTGGAGATACCACTATCCAGGAGGCTGTGTGCCCAGCACCTGACACACATCACGAGGGGGGCAGCACAGAGCGGAGCTGGTGACCCGGCTGCCCCTACCCCCTAATCATGATTTACTCTTGGGCGCACTTCTGAACCTCACTAAGCCACAAAACGGGCATCATATCTTCCCCATAGGATGGTACGAAGATGAAATGAGTTTTGCCAAGCGGAGCACACGGCACAGTGCCTGGCATTTAGCAAGCACTGGAGGGTGGCCAGTACCATGATTATGTCCTTAATCCTGATGCCAGTCCCCGGGGGTGGGGGCTTTCACGATAGCCACCCTGTAGGCAAGAATAATGAAGCGCTGTGAAGGTGAGTTTCTCATGTCACACAGCGTGCAAATGGCAGGGCCAGGGTTAGCACCCAGGCCCTGGCGGTCAGCCACCACCCCAAACTGTCTCCCTTCCCATCACTGGCTTTCTGTCTTTGTAAGGCTTTCTGGGTGTCTGGTATCCTCACCCATGACCTTACCAGGGAACTTCATCTTTCCCTCCCTACAAGGCCTTCAAGGCTCAGTCCCGACAGCCTCAGCGGCCCCTACCTACCATGGCTTCCTCCTCCAAGCCCCCAGACCCGGAGCCCCCCCTGGGGCTCTGGGCCCCAGCCCAGTCAGCGAGTCCTTCATCTCTGCTCCTTGCTCAGAATGGCTCCCCAAGGGCACGACACCGTACCTTCAAGTTTGGTTTTCCAGTCTGTAGCCCAGTGCCTGGTGTGGGAGTGGTTCAGGGAACACGGAAGGAAGGTCTAGTCCGTGGAGAGTCTATGGATTCCACCTCAGACTCCCTGCCCCTTTGTCTGCAGCCACCTCTCCTGCTCGTTCTTACCCTGTGGAAACCCTCAGTCCCAACCCCCCCCCCCCCCCCCAGGATGGAAACCCTCAGTCCCAACCCCCCCCCCCCCCCCCAGGATGGAAACCCTCAGTCCCAACCCCCCCCCCCCCCCAGGATGGAAACCCTCAGTCCCGACCCCAACCCCCCCCACAGGATGGAAACCCTCAGTCCCCACCCCCCCCCCCCCCCCAGGATGGAAACCCTCAGTCCCGACCCCAACCCCCCCCACAGGATGGAAACCCTCAGTCCCCACCCCCTCCCTCCCCCAGGATGCCATTTGCTCCCATGTCCTCCCTGGTTTCCAGCTGTTCCTCCCTCTAAGCCATCCTGTGCACTTTCACCAGGTTTTGGCCATCTTAATCCCTCACTCAGAAAACTTCCGTGGCTCCCTATTGCCTCAAAGAGAATGTTTCCTTTCCTTAGCCTGGAATCCAAAGCTGCCTCTAATCCTGCTCCCTGGAAAGCCCTCCAAAGGGGTCTGAGCAACAATTACAATGTGTGTATGCGTCGAGCTGGGGGGGGGTCCCCCATGACACCAAGGAGTTCTCTGATGCCAGCTGGGTGTCTTACAGTTCAGCTCATTTCTGATACCGTCCACTAGGAAGAGGGCATCAGTTGCCACAAGTTAAGGGCTCAGTCCCATAAGACTGACCATCCCCCCCTTCCCTCCTCCCCTCCCCCGCTTCAGACCCCAGCCTCAAGCCCAGGTTGTTACCAGTGCTTCTGACAGACTGGCTATAGTGACCCCGCTTCACAGAACTCAGAGAAACACTTTACGTACTGGATCACCGGTTTATTATAAAAGAATATAACTCAGGAACAGCCAGGTGGGAAAGATGCACTGGGCGGGGTATGGGGAAGGGCTTGGAGCTTCCACGCCCACGCGTGGAGATTCAAGGAGAGGGGCATGCTCGGTGGGCGTGGGAGCTCCCAGCCCCTCCCCTGAACCTCCGGCGCGTTCACTAACCCGGAAGCCCACCGAGCTTCTCTGGATGTTTATGGAGACTTCATTAGTTACAGTTGATTTAACCTCCAGCCCCTCTCCCCACCCAGGGGTCAAGGGTGTGGGACTGAGGGTTCCAACCGTCTAGTGACGGGGTTGGTCTGCAGCATTCCAGGCCCATCCTGAAGGGGCCTTCCACAGCCATCTCATTAACATAACAAAGGACACCTTTCTTGCCGTCGTCCTCGCTTAGGAAATTCCAGGGGGCGGCTGGGAGCTCTGTGCCAGGAACAGTGGAGAAGACCAAATGTATATTTCTTATTATAAGTCATTTCGTTTCCGCCCACAGCTGGGGGCAGGGTCTGAGGCTCCCCGGCTCTCGTCTCGCCCACGGAGCTCGCCCTTGGCCCCCGCCAGCGTTCACACAGCCAGCGCCTCCTGCTTCCTATCAGGCTGAGGAAGAGTCTGTGTCCCGGGAGGCAGTTCCCAGCTGAAATCCCACAGGCCGCCTGCTGATTGCAGGCCCTTTTCTCTTTTCCCCACGTGGGCACAGCCTCCATCTGTGAAATGGGCTCAGCCGCAGAGGTGAACCTGTGTGGCCCAGGCCTGCTTCAGCCTTGCGCTGGGATTTCACGGGTCTCTGTATCGTTGGGATAACAGGTGACCTCAGGGCTGATCCCTGAGGCATTGTGCTGACCTGTCCGTGACTCTTTTCCCCTCCCAGAGGAGACCTTGTGAGGGTGGCTGGGAGGCCATCTGGGCCAGGCCTCTTTGAAAAGGACACACCTGGCTTCTTTGAAAAGGACAGTGATCTCTCCTGTTCTTTCTTTTTTTATTATTTTTTATTTATTTATTTTATTTATTTATTTCTAGGAGAGAGAGAGAGAGAGAGAGACAGCGTGAGCAGGGGAGGGTCAGAGAGAGGGAGTCACAGACTCTGAAACAGGCTCCAGGCTCTGAGCTGGCAGTCAGCACAGAGCCGGACGCGGGGCTCGAACCCATGAACCGCGAGATCATGACCTAAGCGAAAGTCTGACACTTCACCGACTAAGCCACCCAGGCGCCCCTCTTCACTTTAATTTCTATAGCTAATAAGTAACCTGTGTCATCTGGTCTTAGGCACTTTCACAGTGCTTCCTTTGAAAAATGATCCCACTCTTACCAAGGTGAGGAATTTAGCCCAGTCTTATTTTCCACATTAGGCTGATCTCGGCCAATATAACTTAGGAGTTTAAACACAAATCACTGTTTTACTACACTTTTATATTATATAGAGTATCTTTCAAAGATAATTTTTAATGCTCAAGGATTATCTAGATAGTTCTATATGTTTAACTTGTATCAATGAATAATATCGGTTTTTTTACTCAGACTTCCTCAATTGTTACTTCTTATTTTTGACTTTTGATCATTAGGAGCTGTGCTTTCCAAACTTTAATGTCCATATGAATCACCTAGGGATCTTGTTAAAATCCAGGTTCTAATTTTGGTAGATCTTGGGAGGGGTTTGATATTCTGCATGACTAACTAGCTCCCAGGTGGTTCTGATGCCTCACTTTTCATCGCCAAGGAGCTAAAGTAAAGTTTTCAGTGATACTTAAGTAGTGTGTTTTCTGTGTCTTTGCATATTTGAGAATGCCTTTCTATTGTTTATACATGTGAATAACATTTTCACTAGCAACAGTATACTTGAAGCACAGATTTTTCTCACAAATCTCTTTGGTAGATACCCTATTACCTTCCAGTGTTCTGCCTTGCAGGGAATATTAAGGCTCACCTTACTTGAGACTTTTGAAATACAGCACTAACTTTTTTCCTCCCTGGAAGCATACAAGAGATTTTTCACTCTCACAAGAAATCAAACTTTCACCATAATAAATCTAGACATGTTTCTACTTTCATTTTATTTGGTGAAGGCCTCAGTGAGCACTTTTAATCTGATATTTAAAACTTTTTTCAAGCTTATGAAAAAATTTGTATTCATCCCTGACATGTGCCCTATATTTTTTATTTTCACTTATCAAGGATTCTTATTTTCCTTAAGTCAGATCATCTCCCCTTATTCTTCATACTTATTGATTTGATCAATAATAGCTACAGATTTTAATATTTTACTTGTAATAATTGATAGGACTAGACAGAAAGACAATAAGGATCCAGTAACTTGAATAGTATCAGCCAACTTGATATGACTTTTATACAATACAATGAGATACATTCTTACAATGAGATATGTTACAACAATGAAAATGACAGATGTTTGGCTATAGTTTCTATATTTGCCAACATCAATGGATCTTAGAAACAAAGCTGAAGAGGGGGAAGGCATTTCATAAAAAAGTAGCTTCACTATAAAACTATTTTCATAAAAATAAGCAAAACTAAATAACATATTGTTATTATATATATA